AAATTGATTTTTGAAATTAAAATTATCATCTAGTGATAGTATATTAAAGAACATCATGTTCCCAAAGTGACAATGAACAGGAAATTAAGGGGCACAACATTTAGTTAACTAGAACAAGACTTGATGAGAAGATATTGAAGTGACCAAACCCAAAAGCTAGAATAGAATTATACAAGGTAAAGATAGAGATTGATAAGGAGTCACCAAAGGAAGTCCTTTCTTATCTCAATACGGAGTATATTCAGAACAATGGCAGCATCCAGCAATACTACTAGTACTTATACCCGTGGGGCTAGGCCATAAGCCAAAGAATTATCCATTGCCTTCATGATCATCAAAAGGATTTCCAGAGAGTAATATCACCATCAATATTATCAAGATAAGAAAAAAATAAGGATTCCAATGAGATTTGTGCGATATAATCACATAAAGATTATAACTAATAGCCCTAGCCTACTGGGTACCGTGGCACCTAAACCCAGAAAACTATGTAGGTGTCCCTTATTTAACCAGATTCTCCAGAACTTGCTCAGAGGGGAATAAGAAAAGATAAGGAGGGTTGACCCTACCTGTCAAAGGACAAGACAATTATTGTATAAACACATTCAAGTTCAACATATACAGATAGCATCTCAAGTTAAGGGGTAAGTACTCGAAATATTGGTCCTCACTGTAGACATCATGCTACTCCCAATCTCAAGTTAAAGGGCATAACATAAAGCTGTTAAATCCAGTACCTTACAGATAGCATCAATTTCATCAAAAATTATGACATGCAAATCACTTTGGTCACCTGAAATGTCAAGGACATGATGGATCATTATACTATTGACAAACTAATCCACAAAAATATAATAAAGGAACTACCAATTTTAAAATCTTCCTTACCACGAGTCCGTTGATCGTTCTCTGCATCAGCAAATAGATCCCTAACATTCTTTTCAGTTTCACCAACAAATTTGCTTAGAACTTCAGGGCCATTAATAATCTATATGATTCAAAAGAAAAAAAAAGAAAAAAGAAAGAAAAAAAAAAGAGGGAAACAAATTACAATGTGTTAATGCAATAACATATTCAATCACTACAGATGCCCATTATATTACAAACAATGTTTCATTCCAGATGTCCAAAGAGTTGAATAACAAAAAATATGTTCAAAGAGTCAAATAACAAAAACAGTAGAAAACATAGGCTCTATCACCAAAAGTTAAATATGATTTCAGAAAGAAAACATAGGTTCTCAATCCTATAGAAAGCAAAAAAGAGAAATGATAACATATGTGGATTGTTTGCTTAAAGTATAGTGTAAATAAATACAGTATACTCCAGTCCAAACCTTTGGTTCCCTTCCGTTCAACATCTTTCCAATTTGACGGGCCATGAGAGTTTTTCCGGTGCCAGGAGGTCCATAAAGTAGCATGCCTTTTACATGCTTAATCCCCAATCTGGAAATTCAAAGACTTTCTTGTTAGTGGATGATGCATAGCTACCAAAAATATAAATACGATAATTTGAGAGGTTAGCTGTATTACTTGCTTGTCACATGGGGAGGGAAAACCCGAGAAGCAAAAGCTCTTCGAAATATATCAGCAAACTCATTGCTTAAGCCTCCTATACCCAGTGACAGGAGATTAAACTCCTTTTGCCTGAAGATGTTGCTGCTGGCAGCTTCACGCTGATTTACAATCTAAATAGCAGAAAAGCAATTTACTGAATCAATAAAGCTGGTCACGTCAAGACAGTCAAATTTTAATTGAGATGAGAGGATAAAATTAAAAATAATCTCTATGACTGATCTCAAATTGAATAGAAGTCATCTGAATAGAAGTTGAAAATAAAGAAATGAGAACATGTGGTGATGTATAACCTTTATTCCACTTGAATTTGATGCCTCAAAGATAATATATGTCTCATTTGAAATCAGCCCCCTTTCAGGAGCATTAGATGCTTCTTGGCCCTCTAAAACAGCTTGATTGACAGTAAAAATATAATTATTACCATGATACTCAAAGGAAACTCTTTGGCCTGCGGTCATAACCTGCACATAAGGTTACCAACATTCAGTGACTAAAAATGACTCTCAAATGAGAAAGCAAACCAGAGGAATAATAAACAAATATCAATTAATTCAGTCGATTCTATATGCATTTAAGTAGTAAGAAAGTTTGTATGTGTGAGTCTAAATCCACCCATAGAGATGGTACCTACCAGATCTACATTTCTTTTCCTCTTCTAGATAATAGCAATGAAATGATTACATTAACACTTGGACAGGAAGTCCCAGCCAACAAATTTAACCTTGTGGAAACAAATGAGCTTCCAATATTTTCCTATGTTTACATATAATAACCACACTTAAGCAGCTTGTAACTGTCAAAATAGAATTTGTATTTAATTTTTCTGACACCCAGAGTGCTAAAGACTGCACCTAACCGACACATCCATTAGATATAAATCATCTGTTTCATTATTTTAAAAATGAAAACTCCTGTAACATTATGATGGCAGGAAGGAAATTCAAAATTCAAAGTCAGCTCATCTAAAACACAAATAAAGACAGAAGAAAAACCTAGTAGCATGCTGATGAAACAAGTCAACCATATAAACCTCTACCTGGTTAAACCTCTGTTTTAACTGTGTAGCCAGCAGAACAGCATCAACCTACAAAAGGATCGAAACTTTAGTCCTACCACCCTCATGAAGCAATAGAAAAACTAGTAGGACAGTTAACAAACCATCAAGACTGAAAAACTACCTGCTCATTCTTAGTCCCTTTCTTCACAAATTCCAGCTCAAGTGTAAGCAATGCAAGGTTAAAATTATCTGGAGGAATAAATCTACATATACCAAAGAAAACTCAGAAATTATTAATAAAGTGGAAACACAAAAAAAGAATTAAAAAACAAAAAGGTGTAAGGTTATTGACCTGCTCACAGATATGGTGTCACCAGTAGAAACTTTTGCATGCCGTCGTTGGATGGCATTCAGGGCAATGTAGCCGCTACATATACTTTCATGAGGAGTAAACCTAAGTTAAGGCCTCAAAACAACCAGTAATTTGGAGTAATTTTTTAAAAATTTGATCTTTATAAAAGCAACAAGTTCATCAAAATAATGATTAGGGCCTAAAAAAAAAAATTTAGTACCAAATAAAAAAAAGAACTGAAAAATAACTCAACATAAATATCTACTTTCCTATTTTTGCCTATAAACTATATTTTAGATATTAGTTTCTACTTCACAGCTCAAGCAGTTCGTCGCATAAATGAGATAGTTTATGGCCTCAACACTCAAATATCTAAAATGCATATGGTACAATCAAAGCAAATGAAGTAAAATAATATCAAATTATCAAATCATCAACATATGAAGAAAATGCCATGAAACTAAGGAAAGTAGCTAGTGATGAAGGAATTCACGGCCAAGATCTTTCAGCACTTCGTCAAATGTGGTAGAATTATCAAAACAAACACAAATATCAAATACTAATTGTTGGAGCTATGGCATGAAAGCTGAAAATGCAGTGAAATGACAACTGCTAAATGATGGTGCAACATGACTACACAGTAGCAGCAAATGACAGCAGCATGGAATTTCACATGGGCTACAAGAAATGGCGGCAGACTTCATCATTTTAGTCAATGTTTTAGGTAGCTAATACTTATTGTATTAAGTAAAAAAGTATTATTATTTTATGTGTAACCTTCCTCTATAAAAAGGAAGGAAGAATTTGAATGGAAATTGAGAAAGAGAAAGCATGGTTTCTCCTCTCCGGTTGGGTGAATGTCTGCACCCTTCCATGTTTATGGCTTTTATGTTCTATGTTATGTCGTCTTGTTTCTGCTATAAATAGCAGAATATCAATGGAAGAAAATGGGTTTTAACCTCACCAAAAGAAGGAACTCCGGGTGTCTCTCTCCTCCTCCAAGTCCTCTCTCAATCCCCCCTTCTTACCTCAAAAATCCAACATGGTATCAGAGCTGAATTCTTGAGGGACCTGTGAGAGTTTGTTTTTTGAGGAAACACCAGAAAAAACCCCGCATTTCTCATTGTTTTCAAACAGTTCTTCATATGAAACCCTTCTTGCTTGGCCAAAGTCTTGTAGCAAAAAAGGCTGTGAAGATGAAGGCATATGTTAGTCCCACCATGGGAGATGTCAAGGAGAGGAAAGCTGGATTCAAAGAGAAGGTGTTCATGTTTGTTTCCAAAGTCAGTCCAAAGGGCAAGTCATGATTGATGGAATGGGAAACTGAGCACAAAAAACTCAGTTCCATGGTATGTTCTTCATCCATCTTTTATGTTTGCTATGGATATGTTTTGAGTTTTCCCAAGAAAACTCCTCATGGATGTGGCCTTGATGTTCGAAACTCCCACGGCTTCATGGCAAAGAATGTTTGATTGAGATGACAGCAAAGGAAAACTGAGCACAACATCTTAGTTTCATTATGTGTTCTTCTACCATCTTTTATGTTTGTATTTCTGAATATTATGAGTTTTTCTCATATAAAAAAAAAAAAGGTTTCTGTATTTGTGAACTCCATCGCTTTATGGCAAAGAAGTTTGGTGGAGGAGCAAAAATCACAACTCCAGAATGTGCTGAAGCAGCAAAGATCCACGGACAAAGCTGCTGCAATGGTGGAGTTGCTGAAAATGTTTAAGGCTCTAGAATTTGTTCAAACAGCAAAAATCTAACAAGCATGAAGCTGATTTGCAGAAGGAGCTGAAATATTTGAGAAGATGGTACTTCGCAGCAAACAACAAACCAAACCCAAGGACAAAGAACTGAAAATGGCAGAGTCAATGTGCTAAAGTAAAATTTTGTTTCTGCAGCTTTAATGCCAAGGAGGAGTTTGTTGGAGCTATGGCATGAAAGCTGAAAACGCAGTGAAATGAGACTGCTAAATGATGCTGCAACATGACTGCACAGTAGCAGCAAATGACAGCAGCATGGAACTTCACATGGCTACAAGAAATGGCAGCACACTTCATTATTTTAGTACATGTTTTAGATGGTTAATAATTATTATATTAAGTAAAAAAATATTATTATTTTATGTGTAGCCTTCCTATAAAAAGGAAGGAAGAAATTGAACAAAAATTGAGAAAGAGAAAGCATGGTTGTCGGTAGAAAATCCAACACCATGTGAACGCATAGACTTTCTAGTAAAATTTCTTCACCAACCTACTTAGTTGAAAGTCCAACCTACCTAGTTGAAAGTCCAATCCCATGCCAACACATAGACTTTTTAGTGAAATTTCTTTACCAACCTACCTGGGCTAGCAATTGTTTTGTTGAAATGATGCAAGATTGTACGTTGACTTATTTAATGGATAAAGAAAAATGGTGCATGGGTGGTTGGATTTTTTACTATAAATATTTATGCATGTGAAGGTAATTGGCAAGCAAGAGAGAAACCAAGCAAGAGAAGAGCTAAGTGAGTGGGTGCTCTTGTGAGAGAAAAGAAAGAGAAACTATGAGAAATTTTTGTGAAGATTAAGAGAGAGTATTAAGGAGAATATAAGGGTTTTTATACATTAAAATTAAGGTGTTGAGAGCTTTTTGAGTGAGAGAGTTTTTAAATTATTATATATATTTTTTAATAGTAAATTTATTTCTTTCTCATGGACTTAGACTTGTTGATAAGTATATAAGTTGAATCACATTAATTTCTTTATTGCTTCCATTTACGTGCGATTGTGGTGCTCAAAATTTCCTACAACGGTTTCTCCTCTCTAGTTGGGTGAATGCCTTCACCCTTCCATGTTTATGGCTTTTATGTTCTATGTTATGTCATATTGTTTCTGCTATAAATAGCAGAATATCAATGGAAGAAAATGGGTTTTAACCTCATCAAAAGAAGGAACTCCGGGGGTCTCTCACCTCCTCTAAGTCCTCTCTCAATCCCCCTTCTTACCTCAAAAATCCAACACTAATGATCCATAAGCGCGTGCCTAAAATGAAACTCAGACGGTAGAGAAACTAAACAGAAATGAGACTAGCATGTAACTAAACCAATTCTCATTCTCATAAATTATAAAAAGAGCCAGCAATGCATTATCAAATAAATCATTCGCATCTCAACATCAGTTCATGTGATGGCAAAAAAAAAAAAAAAAAAGCAATGTAGAACCTAAGCGCACGTATATTGCAGTTAATCAGCAAAATAAAGAATCACACTAACGTGTTCATGCTACCAGCCGATTATCAACTCATCTGAGAATTATCATGCGCATCTGGATTAAAGGCGTGATTAATCCTCAAAATCAAAACAATTCTTACTCTCTCGAAACAAAACAATCACTCCTCATTTCTCAAAATTATCGATCACAACTTTAATTTTCAAACGGTTATAAAGGTGACGAGAGTAGCATATACTAATTTTAAAATAACTTGGAATTTTCAAGCAAAACAAAGGAATGAAACTGTAAATCACATGAAATCGAAGAGAAAGAGCAAATAAAAAGGATATGAAACAGAAAGGACGAAGACGTCGGCGACATTGGCGAGGAAGAGCTGAGAACCTGGGACGCCGAAGCCATGGTGATCGGCGGGCGAGCAGTAGGCGAGATTAGTGA